TTGTCTTTGTCACCCATTATCTTGGAGGGAAGTCAGGTGATTCAGTGACTTCAAACAGAGGCACTACAGAGGATAGAGATCCGATAGCAAATTTCATGCCAGTATAATTGTCTGCCAATTCAAGGATGGCTGGATAGCAGTTTCACTCGGCAGTGGAGAAAGGCCCTTTGTGTGCTTCCAGATGGATAGCTCTTCACGCTGCTAATCAAAATACATTGTGCAGCTAGTCTGTCTTTTCCTCCTTAATCAATTTTTCCAGAGCAAGATGTGCTTGGCTCTAGCAAGCATGTATCTTTGGAGCGTGCCATTTACATCCCACATGTCATCAAAATTAAATTCCAATGTGCTTTACAGCAGGCACAGAAGAGATACTCCATCCTGTGTAGAGAAGAAACTAATCTGCATTTTAAATAATAATATTTAAAAAATAATAATCTGATCAACAGGCAGGTCAATCATACTTTCAACAACAGAGTTCAAACAGAGAAAAAGAAGGATGTTTCTACAGAGCATCCTTCCCCAACCTGAGTGCCCTCCAGATGTGTAAATTAGCTTCCAGAATTCTCCAGCTAGCATGGCCAGTGTTAAGAATCCTTGGAGTTGAAGCCCACACATCTGGAAGGGTGTCCAAATAGGAAAGGCTGCCATTGAGGCTGGGAGGAGGACATCTGGGATTGGCTTCTCTTGTTGACTTGGACTTCTTCCCTGTCATTGGACAGCAAAATCTGATCTATCCTGAAGTCCTTAAGATACCCTCACAATCGCCATAAGATTGTGCCAGAAATAATGCAGTTCTAAATTTGAATATGCTCCAGACAAATTAGTGTTCCCCAACCTAATGTTCTCTACATGTATTGGTATTGCTATTCCCATAGATCCCAGCCGGCATAATCACTGGGTATTCTAGACAGCAATTCCAATGCATCTGCTGGATGCCAGGTTGGTAAATGTCTAATATATGACATATTTTCAAAAGTTCAGGTTCAACTGGAGAAGAGAACCTACAAAATATAGTGCCTTTAACATCTGGGGGAAGGAGTACTGCTTCCAGAAAGGCTTTTTTGTCCCAGCACCTGTTTTTGCTATAAATTAAACCCCAGATGATATAAAAACAAATGCAGATGTTGACTCTATAATCATATACATCTAAGATTCCTTTTCTTCCTCTGTATCAGGGTATTGTCAAAAAAGTCAAGATGGCAATCGTGATGGTGTGATCAAAACTCTGCCCATTTTTTATGCAAGATCCACTCATTCATGCTATAAAAAAGCAGAAAGGCCTATAAAAACAACAAAAGTGAAGCTCCATACTGCATGGGGTAGGCCTGGGAAGAAAAATATTTAAGCATGATAAAAATGTATCAAATTCAGGGGACAGGGGAATATTTTCTGCATAATTTACAGACTTT